TAACTTGGTATTTTGACTTAGGTTGATTTACAATCAGTTTATTTAAATTTTGTTACTAAGTTCTCTCTCTCTCTTGTTAATAGAACTTAGTCATTGACTTTGAACATTTTATTCTTAGTTATTATTGCTATCATAAATCTTTGCAAGCCTAAGTCCTTTATTTATTACCAAATTAATATTCCGTTAACATTGTTCATTAACAATTGTGTGTGTGTGCAACAAAGTGTTTATTGTGTAACAATTTAAATCTAAATTTAAATTTTAAGATATACTATATTGTTATTTTACATTGTGATTGTGATTTAACAACTGCACCCTTCCTTCGAACGCCAATTTCAGTCGGCATATTTGGATTGCATCTCCCATTGGCCGGCACCGGAAACCAGGTAAGAATTAAAGATTTGGTTAACATCCAGGGTTGAGTTTTCTTTGACATATTGGCGTCCGACGCTTCGGTATCCGCGAGTAAAGCCTACCCCGGGTAAAGTACTGGATAAGCAGGCTGACTTCAAAAACAGGCATTGACTTTCTTTCTCTTATCCGAGTAAACGACTGCAAGGTCGTGACCGGTTGAGAAATCTCTAAATTCGTTCTTACTCTTCGAGTAAGAACTGGTGACAGCAGCCACTCGTGAAATCTCTTATCGAGACGTAACAATATCAATCTCTTAATGCTATAGCGTGAACAATATTTTTTGTTAGTCCATCTTTAGCAAACACAAACAAACTGGATGGTTTACCCACTCGAGAGCATGCCACGTRTAATTGTCCGTGTGAAAAACATGGTGTTCTCAAATCTAATCCACAAACAGACATCGTTTGACTTTGGGATTTGTTAATAGTCATTGCAAATGCAAATCTAATCGGAAACTGAATTCACACTCAAAACGTGCATTCACGCGATTGGCAAGTGCGCTTCCGGAATCCTCGCCGCCCATAAAGTAGATTTGTAAGAATTTATGTGGTTTGTTTGGCATTGGCAGCAGTGAGCCCATTTTATGATAAACTTGGCCTCTGATTTTGAATGTAGAATTAAATTGTTGACCATTTGCATTAGTATTTTGAACTATTTCTGTTGCTCCGAACGATGTCATTTGAAMGCATGAATTGAATCTTCGAATTGACTTCAGGAACACGTTAGAATCTGGATCCGTGCCGATAAGTAAGCCGTTCAATGGTTCAGGTGGTGTTTCAATTTCAGGTAGTTGCACTTTTCCTGACGCGCAACACATCCCAGCTGGCTCATTTTTGAATTTYAGAGCATGACAATGCGGACATTCCTTGTCCATAGCACCAATTACCACTTTTRAATGAGCATAATATTCAATATCGGGCTCATACTGGAATGCTAGACGCAGGAATGAATCAGATATAAATGCTCGATGTACCTGTTGTCGTTGTTGGTCATTTGTTCTTCGTCTATTGACTGTGAAACGGCGTGATTGTCGTTGTTCTAATCTTCTGACTTCATTGCGTTCAACTCGTGTATCTTCTGGCACTTCTTGATGCAATTGCGCCATTCTGACACGTGCATCAGTATTTTGTTGCTGGATTTGTTCTTCTGTTCTTTCGGATCTGCTATTTCGCAACTTTCGAGCTTTACTTGTACTGCGGCTTAAATCAGCCCCTTTGCGTTTTCTTGGCATTGCTCACTGTACAAAACATACATAAATAGAATTAATGAAATTATTTAATGATGAAAAATGGTAAAAGTATAATTAGGGCCAGGATTTTTGCCGCAGTTTTGAAAGGATTAGTTTTAACTTATGAAATTATAACAAAAATATARGTTTTATGGAAAAATTTTTCAAACAAAAGTAAAAAATTAAATTTTATGAAAACATTGTCTCTTATAATTTTTTCATACAACYAATATTTCCATTGACATTTCAAAATAAAGATTCATAATGATTGATTTTTTGGAAACTATGAAAATCTTAATTGTTCAATTACATTTTTTTAATAAAATTAAATTAAAATTACATTTCATTTTTAAAAGATCAACAACATTTTCGATATAAATAAAAAAAAGTATAGTTACAACACAAAATCCGTTGTTATTGGAAGCTCGTGTCACGTGTTGAGTACTTTTGAGGTTATAAAATCACTTGATTAACTAATCGTGCAAAATACACTCAAAATTGATAATTTAATTATTATTGATAAAATAGGAATGATTAAAAGTTAATATGAGAGTTACACTGAGATAGCAAAATAATAATTGTCAACGTTACTACTACACTTGATGCATAAACAATAATGATGGCCGACAACTGAGTAGGGAGTGAGAAAGAAAGGAGAGAATAATATGTTTTGTATACAATTTTATTTTCTTACAAAAAAAATTCTATACAAAGATATTGTATCTCTCTGATTTTTCGAAATATTTAAAAAAAAAAAAAACAAATCCTTACCTTTTTTTACATTTTTTAATATATCTCAAAAACTAAGCAAGATAAAGCGATTTTACAAATAATATAATTTGTAGACTATTTTATTTCCTACAAAAAAATTTCAATACAAAGATATTGTATCTCTCTGATTTTTCGAGGTATTTAAAAAAAAAAAAAACAAATTTCGATCAGTATTTACATTTTTAAAAATATCTCAAAAACTAAGCAAGATAGAGCGAATTTACAAGTTTTCTAATTTGTAGACAATTTTTTTTTACTACAGAAAAGGTTATATACAAAGATATTGTTTGTCTCTGATTTTTCGAGGTACTTTAAAAAAAACAAAACAAATTTCGACCATTATTTACATTTTTTAAAATATCTCAAAAACTAAGCAAGATAGAGCGAATTTACAAATTTT